TCTGGTGATTTAGATAGTTTTTAATCCAGAAATAAACTGTCTTAAAAAATAAAAAAAATTATAATTTAGGATTTATGTGCCAGATTTTAGACTACGTCAAAGTTGGCGTTATTTTAACTTTTTTTATAGATTTTGCTAGTGATTGAGCAAAAAAAATTTATCTTGAAAAATTTAAGTAAAACATGCCAAAAAATTGCTGAATTATATCAAAAATTTAGATCGTTTTTGAGACAGAAACTCAAATATTTTCTAAAATTTTGTCCAAACTGACAAAATTAACAATAATTCAGCCTGCTTCGAACGATTGAGCAAATTGTATAATCTAGAAATGTTAAAATTTTCAAAAATTACGTTGTTTGGCTGTTTCAGTTGGTTTACATAGTTTTTTTAAAGTGACCAAAAATTATTTTTTTCTATGAATTTCGCTCATTTTTGAGTACTGAAACTATTTCGTTTTGAATCTTTAGTCAAAACAAGACAAAAATCACTGCGTTATTTTAATTTATTTTCTAGCAAATTAGCTCGTTTATAAGATAGCATAACTCATCTTTTCAAAATTTCGTCAAAACTCGGTGAAAGTTAACTTATTTTTCTCAAAATCAGCGTTATTTTAGTTTTTTTTTGAAAGACTTAGTTAACTTTTAAGCTAGAAATTGACTTATTTTCGTCAAAAAAATTTAAAAAATCAAATTACGTTATTTTTGATTATCTTGGGAAATTTATGTATTTGTATAGTACAAAATGTTAACTATTTTCGATAAAGTTTTGTAAGCTAGAAATTTACTTGTTATTTTACTAATTTTTGTCAAAAAATCTAAAAAAAATACTACCTACTATTTTGACAGTTTTGAGAAATTTAGATAGTTTTTAAACCACAAATGAACTTTCCAATATTTCACTAAAACCAAGTGGAAAATTTACAAATTGACCTGTATTTACCGATTTAAGTAAGGATTTTTAGTGCCCAAGATTTTATACGTCAAAGGTGGCGTTATTATGAATTTTTTTTATAGATTTTGCTAGTTTTTGAGCACGAAATTTTTTATTTTAAAGTCAACTTGTTTCTCTCAGATTCAGCGTTATTTTAGTTTTTTTTTGAACAACTTAGTTAACTTTTTAGCTAGAAATTGACTTATTTTCGTCAAAAAAAATTAAAAAATTAAATTACGTTATTTTTGGTTATTATATGTATAGTAAAAAATATTAACCACTTTCGTTATATTTGTTTTAACAACATTTTATGTACTTTTTTGCATTTCAAGGACCTCTAGAATTGTAAAAAACGTCCTTTTGACCGTTTTGTAAGAAAAATTGTGGTAATATCATAAAAATTAAAAAAAAAATTACGACAAGCTGCGCCATCACACTCCCGGCCAGTGTCTCTGCTAATCCACACTAAAAACAAGTTAAAAAAATCCTACGTTTTGTAGGTACACTTTTATAAAAAAAATATTTTAATTTAAACTTTTTATTGTTAAATTGGGGATTTGTGGTGGAATCGGTTGTAGATCGCCCTCGACCCACAAAATGTCGCCAATTGTGCGAAAAATCTTCCTCCAGTTTATGCCAAAACTGCTGATTATGCGTCGAACAACTTACACTCTACCTGAATATGACGACAGTTTGCCTCCCAGAGGATACAGCAGCGAGATCGAAATGCAGTGAGATAGCAGCTTCGGTAGCTTTTTTCTTCGATAAATATGGAAATTTTCAGATTGAATATGAGAGATCCGTTTAACACCGACTTCAAAATGAAGGCACATTCGTCGAGTGAGTAAAAACAACCGGAAATTTACCTTTTAATTCTCCGTTTCAGTGTCCTCCTCGAATATAACTCCTCGTTTCCTGTCGGCGAACGTCCTCTCGGCTCTGCAGGGTGTTAGGTTTATTGCACAACACATCAGAGATGCCGATAAAGATAATGAAGTAAATTGTGTTTTATATCCCTGTTTTACCATCAATTCTAATCATTTTTCAGATCGTTGAAGATTGGAAGTTTGTTTCGATGGTCCTTGATCGATTCTTTTTATGGGTTTTCACGCTAGCGTGTATTGGAGGAACTTTCGGGATTATATTACAAGCCCCTTCCTTGTACGACACCCGGGTGCCGGTTCATCAACAACTTAGCGAAATTCCTCTCACCAAAATCTTCCAAATTCCGCCCACACGCACACACCTTCCCATACAATAAATCTTCTCTCTACTATACAGAGTGCGCCAGAAGTCGCGCCCCAGAGGAAAATGCCATATAAAGTAAGATACCAGGAACATGGAAAAAATGTTAAAAAAAAATATCTATAAAAATTTAGAAGTTATGAGGGTTTAAAGTTTGCACTTTGACTCTATTTATTTCTATTGGAAAAATAATTTTCTAAGTTTTTTTTGCTATAGGCTATTAAAAGAGGAAACAAGGAAGCTGTAGCCTAAATTGTAACTCTGTTCAATATTATTTGTGGCTTTTATTGGCAAAATTTTTGTTCCTTTACTAAATAATTGTAAAAAAACATATACAAGATAAAAAAGAAAGAAAAAAAGTCAAATGTCAAAATTTTCATGTTCCTGGTATCATACTTTACTTGAAAATGTTCTCTGGGGCGCGAGTTCTGGCGCACCTGTATCTAAATGGGACCACTGCACTATTCTAAAGCACAACTACTATACTTTTTGAATGTTTTATGGATCAATTTTCCGAAAATCGCACAATTTTACATCCAAACAACGCGCACTTTGTGTAATATCTGTTCCGTGTTGCCGGATTTAAACTGCTGTTGCTAGGTAACGATCAAATCTTGACGTTACTTGGCAATTATGTTACAATATGTGCCCAAAATATAATAAAAATCGTTAAAAAAATTGATTTTCTTATTTTTTCAATCTTCTAATGACTCAACTCTGTTATGAGAATTTTACGAATAAATGAAAAAAAAAACTAAAAAAATAAGCTAATTTATACTGAAAGAATAACAAAAAATTAAAAGATTTTAAGAGAAAAAGG